ACTCTATGCTCAGGCTTGATCACTTGCCAAAACAAAGCCCACACGCGAAATTTATAATGAAGCCCAGTTTATCGGTAAAAATCTTAAAGCTGAAGAATAAGCTTTCGTTTATTATGAAAGAACCAAAATAATTCTTACAAACATCTTTGAAAATGGTTTTGAAGCCGATCGGATGGTTAGCAGAAAACTTTCATACAACCGTATAATTGCTGACACACGTACTCATTAAGTTCTTATGTAGAGTAAGTTTGAAGCAAATCGGAGAAAATCTAAAACGTCGCCCGAAAAATCGATGAATCGCATTTCTGCGAAAAGTGTGAAACACGTCTTTAATTATATTTCGTGTAGCTCTTTGGATATAAATTTAAACACAAAACGTTACACTCCAAATCTTTGACCAGCATTTCCACCGAGGAAGAATGCATTTTTCAAAAAGTGTGAAACAGCCCTCAAATAATTTTAAGAAGAGATCTTTGATAATGAGCTTGAGCCCGATCGGATAGTAAACAAAAAAGTTTCATACAACCGTACAATTGCTGACACACGTACTCATTAGGTTCTTATGTAGAGTAAGTTTGAAGCAAATCGGACAAAATCTAAAACTTCGCCCGAAAAATCGATGAATCGCATTTCCACCGAGGAAGCTTAGATTCTGCGAAAAGTGTGAAACACGTCTTTAATTATATTTCGTGTAGATCTTTGGATATAAATTTAAACACACAACGTTACCCTCCAAATCTTTGACAAGCATTTCCACCGAGGAAGAATGCATTTTTCGAAAAGTGTGAAACAGCCCTCAAATAAATTTAAGAAGAGATCTTTGATAATGAGCTTGAGGCCGATCGGATAGTAAACAAAAAAGTTTCATACAAACGCTTTTCTGACTTTTACAACACTGCTTGTCAAACGCAGATGTACATTTCTTCAAAAATAAAAATTGTGTAAAATGTAAAATTTTTCGTAGAAAATTGTAACAAAAATAAAAATAATCTATTAGAATCTTTTATGCAACATTGGGTGTGGATGTTAATACATCCGCGCCCTCTCAGCCGATAGCGCTGCGACCAGATTTCGAGAAAATGATGAAAATTGCTGTCTCTACACCTGCGGAAATTCGTGGAATAATTTCCCTAAGTACTGTAAGTGCTTCAAACTCTGCAATTAAGTGCGGTAGTAGCAATAGTGCTGTAACGACATGCACATTGATGTCGTCAAACTCTATATACGAGTCTACCTACACTGTCACATCTTCAAGTGGAGAAGTGTGCACGATCCCAAAAATTAACTACAAAAGTGTAGTTGCGAGCGAATCAGCATATAATATCCATTCTTGGTCATCCGAGAAATCGCTCAGCTGGATGACCACCAAAATAAAATATGAACTGTCTTAACGCTTGCCAAAAGCAAACGGTAAAAAAGGGAGGTTAATTGCGTCTCAGATATCGACGGACAGACTAAAGGAGAGCCCAATAAAAAGATGATCCTACAGAGGAGAAAGTAGCTCTTACCGAGGCACTGGCAGAGGAGATGGAAATTGAGCTGAATGCCGAAAAAGAAGCCAGAATATTCAGATCGAGGAAGCCACCCCCCATCTTTTTCGAAAATGTAAGCAATGTGACCCAGATGGAGACAGAGCTTGAAGCTGTCATTGGGTTAGATAATTATACCCTCCACGTTGGATCACAAGCTCTTATCGTAGTCTAATCATCCTAACTTTGGCTAGCACCACCCCTGAAGATTACATTAAGGAGGAGTTTAGGCGACATGGACACATTGTCCTTCGTATCCACAATCCGACAACAGGAAAACGGAGAAGCTATTGAGGAACTGATCCAAAATAATTTCTTCTTCATTGATTTGGCTCGCGTTCCTAATAAAAAGAAAGCGCTGAAAATCAAGCAAATAGGGCGACAAAGAGTCTTGGTGGAAACACTAAGAAAAATTTGGATGCCATTCTTTGCCACCCAACCTAAAACCTAAACCTAAACTTAGAAATACTAACACCAGAAGACATCAAAGATGCACACGTTCTATTCCTCAACAAGGCATCCCTCATTGCTTCGCCAGTACATCAATTACAAAGCTTAAGACCACAGGGTACACTTCCCCCAGCAATATATGCACTACTACTGATTAAGAGAAAGCTTAGAAGGCAGTACTGTCGTACCGGAGAGCTGAAAGCTACTAGAGCTGCATAGACAAAAGGAAACCGACCGTTTTTTGGAAAATGTTTCTACAAATTAATCTTCAAGTCACTCCCTGTGAAGACTGGCGAAAAGATATAAACAGCAAGTGACTCTCAAATCTTCGATCAGAAAACCTGACGGTTCCTGGGCCAGATCCTGAATTGAACGTGCTGAAGCATTCGCCGATGACTTAGAAGAACGCTGCAAGCCATTTAATACATGTTCAGAAAACATGAAGAAGGGTTACGCTGGAGAGTCCAATCACAGCCAGACAGCCAACAGTCTCAGACCAAATATCAGTGCTTAAGGCTAGAAAAGCTCCTGGCGAAGATGGGATAGTTAACATTACGATTAAATCAATGCCTGCCAGTGCAGTACTCTTTTTAGTACTCTTCAATGCGGTATTGAGACTGGGACATGTTCCAAGTCAGTGGAAAAAGGCAAGGATAGGCAAGAGCAAGAGCAAGATAGGATAGGAAAGAGCCCCTCGTCTTTTGACTCTTATATACCAAATAGTTTGTTGCCTACGATTGTCAAAGTCTTTGAACGTTGCCTGCTCACGAGACTGTTGAAAAGGATTAATCAAAAAATTCCTCCCTTTCAGTTTGCGTTCCGGAAATCTTATGGCGCACCAGAACAACTAAATAATTTTTATCCTCGAGGGTTTCGAATCAAGAAAATACGTAGTGGCTGCATACTTGGACATAAAAGTAGCCTTCGACAGAGTCTGGCATGATGGACTACTCTGCAAAATCAAGCCCTTGTTGCCACCTCAACTTTTGACTGATTGTGCGAAGCTACTTAACAAACCGATCATTTTCGGTAGTGATCGATGGGGTTGAGTCCAACATCAAGGCCATCGGGGCCGGCGTTTCTGCCAACTGGCTCTACAATTGAACTCGCGGAACCAAATCATGGCCATAGCTGCTTGTGCTAATGACGACCGACAACTAACAACTAAACTACTCTACGAAGGTTGCCACCTTACATAAATGACAAAAGGAAAGTGCTGTGCGCCATTTAAATAAATTCAACTCAGTTGTTGGCTTCGAGGCTCGCTTCTTGACAGGCAACGCACGTGTGCACGTTTTCAACGCTTAAGGCCATAAAAAGAGCAGTGCTGGGCCCCCACAGCTTACATTAAATTGTGAACAGCTAGGGACAGTCAAGCAGTCAGAACATTGCCAACTGCCCGCTGCCGACAACGCACAAGTGGCAAGAGGCAAGTGCAAATGAGCCAAATGCCGAGGCGCAACAAAATGAAGTTTTTTTTTTGCTTTTGTCCGAGTGGCGAACGTCCAATCATTTTATTTGGCGTCCGTTCGTGCTGTGTGAGGCTTATAGCACATTTCTATTCATTATGAGTAGTCAGGCTCATGAAGACTCCCTAGCTGCGTCTTGACTTCCTCTGCGATTCTGTGGCCACTCCTCTAGCCAGCTGTTGGCCGTAATGTTTTAGGCTGATATGCTCCTAATCGCTGGAGTTACACGCAATTAATTTTGCTTTGTAATTTACAAAACAGTGCCGACACACTCGGCACTTACTCGGTTTTTTATGTGTTTGGTTTTTATGGACATACCCAGAGTTCATATAATTTATTATCAAATTTGCACACTCGCCATGGGGCTCAAAGCTAAGGTCTAAGAACACTAGAGACCTTTATATGTGGCATGTTGATTAGTGGAAACTCTAATGAATCTGCCCGACGGCGCAATACCAACAAATTTTAATACCAATTTGCGACTCAGTCAATAAGCATTTCGAATGGCCGCCCCATTCCAATATTGGCCAAGTTACATAGAAGGCTCTAATAATAGCTAACGGCAATTACGTTCTATGAGTTTTCATTTTGCGAGTCGCATTGTTGTTGATGGTGTTGCTTCTGGAATTGCTGTTGGTATTGGCATTGGCATTGCTTTGCTTTTGTTGCTGCAAATAATGAAAATTATAAGCCACTTCCGAATTTCATTATCGAAATTAGATGTTGCCTGCCTCTTCAGACAACAGCAACGGCAACAGAGTTTCCCTGATGGATTTTGCGGATGTTGCGCTAATTTGTCAACGGCCATAACGACACCAATGACAAAGTGAATGTCACTGTGGGCGTGGTAACAGCCAAGCTCCTTTGCCTTGTCAAATTCAAATTGACTCATTAAAAATTAAGTTGCCTCAGACTGACAGCGCTTTCCAGCCAAACCACATTTACAGCAACAAAGTTAACCAAATGATAAATAGTAAAATTAGATTTGACAGCCAAGTCGACTCGGCTCGGCTGAGCTCGGCTCGCGTTTAGTTGCCACACAAATTGCAGCATTCATCTTGATTACATTTACGCATAATATCTTAAGATTTGCAATTTTTGTCAGGTTCCCTGTAATTGCATTTTGTGTCAGACTTTAAAATTTAAAACACTTTTGCATAAATTTTATTCGAATATTCTTACAATTGGTGTGAATGTTGAATTCATCTGAATTCAATTGAGTTTTGCCAATAATTTTTCAAATATTTTTTTTTATAAATTTGCATTTATGAAGTAAGCATTTGTTACCACTGGGTATAATGCATTTCCCAAGAATTGGAACACTACAGCTGACCATAGCCAGTCGAGTTCCCAGAAAATTCCACCACAAAGGTTTACTAAATTCCGCAGTTTATATCGATGCAATTTAATTGGGTTGGCTTGCCTTATGGAAACTAACTCACATTTGCATTTTTTAAATGGAATTTGTGCAGTCCACTGACATTGTGCACTAGTTCTTACCGATTCATAGCAATTATATCTTATACAATAGTGGGTTCGTCAGCCAAGTGTATTTAGTGCAATTTTAAATTTCATCTTTACTGCGCGGTAACTAACTAAATAATTTGCTACTTGCAGCTGGAGTATTTACACAATGTGTGTGGCAGTTTGAAATATTTTGCGCATATTTCCAACTTGCACACATGTTGCACAGAGAACCACGCCCAGACCCACACCTACCCATAGGTTGCATGGCTGCTTGCGAACTTCTTGCATTGTTCATCATACATCATACAAGAGCAGCAGCTAAAGTCGAGACAGTCCTGCAGCTGGCGTGTTAAATCAATTGGGAGCTTGTTGCTGCCGTACTTAGCTCTTACTTCCGCTTCCGCCCGGAGCCGGCAGCTGCTATAGTGTGGCATCCAAGCCAATTCACCACATGTGCTCCATTCTCGGTTCGTTCATGCCATTACTCATTTTTGTTCAACCTTGGAGAGAGTTTTGTAATTTTGTTACGAAATGTGTAATGTATTACAGAGATTGTTTTGATAAAAATATACATAATATATTATTGATCTGAAAACAGAAAATGGGTCACTATATTACCTAGTAGCAGTAGTCTACACAGTTTATAGTTTTAAAGTGCTATGTAATGGTCAAATTAAGTCAAATTAAGATACACGTTAATCTTAGCTGCCAGATGTGCTAGAGTTTTTTATCTGCAAGACGCTTTACGGTGCCTCCTGTTTATCTAAATTAATGTGGCATTTAAAGGCATTCTTTAAGAATGCTTTTAGTTATTATTGGCTGAGTGTCGAAATGTACCTGTGTTGCCAATGGCAATTTATATTCAGTAAGCACAAATGCCATGCTTATTTATGCGCTCTCATTATTTTCAGTCCAAGTTTCTGCTTGAATCCCTGTCAAATAATGCAGAAGTATTCCCAGCTAACCAGCAAAATAACCAACAAAACATTTTTTAAATGCCAGTCTAAATGTGCACAATAAAATGAAATGGATTTTTAAAAAGGTCGCCCAGTGTTAAAAGGTAGTTTGGGCCTACACTAAGACCTCAAGGTCAACATGGCGTATTCGGCATATTTTATGGCAATTGGAGGGTACACTTTTAAGTTAACTTCTGTATTCAGGGGTTGGCGTATGAACACGACGATGCTGCAGAAATACAATGTATGTATTTTGTTGCATCACTGTATCGTCACTTTTACACATAATGTTTTATATCAACACATGATAACTTAAATTTAAATGTTATACGAAATTTTCTGTATATCCATTTATTTTAATTATATGTATCATACATATTCGTGTCGGATATCTTCTACTGGTATCATATATCCTTGTTTATCCTTTTTATAATATCATGTTATATAGCTTTTTTTCGGGGGTTATTTATGTATCTTATCTTTTATCGCTTATATCTGGATAATATATATAGTGTGTAACATTTTAATTTTAGGTGTGTATATTACATATTCGTGTCGGATATCTACTTGTAACATTTATACTTGTGTATAATTTGTATTATATCTTAGATGTTATAGGTTTTATTTTGTAAAAGAATTGTGTATCTTATTTGTCATCTCTTGTAGCTAGTATGTTATACATTTAATCTCATTTTCAAAACTTTGATTTAATATATTTAAGCTTGCACCCTTTGCATATTTAGGATATAACATATTGTATCTTCCTTGATATGAGTTTTATATTTTTTTATCTATCTTGTATGGATACATCAATTACTTCTTAAGTCCTGGAATCCTTGTGCACGGAATTATATCTGTTTTCGACATACCGGCTCTTCGCATGTCAGGCACATTATCGCGTCTGCTTGCTTAGCACAAATGTCAATGATTGCATTTTGATTTGTTGCCTTTGTGTGTGACAAAATGCGGACGCAGTGCTGCAAGGCAGCTTGCCACAATGCAACAATCAGAATGTCAATCCGCACTACGCAATCAGTTTATTTTATTCAGCTATCAGCAAAGTAGCTGCCACTCAGCGCTGTGCACAGACGTTAGACGATAGAACACAAACACACACGCAAACACGTTCGAGCACATACGCAGAAGTACGCATACAAGCGCACGCCAATGTCTTATATGTGAATCCTTGGCACACTCGTATATGTATTAGTTTGCGTCAACAGAAGCTTTGCGGCAGAAAAGTGTAAATAAACAAATACTCGTTCTAAGCAGGCACCGAAGCCTCGACACCCAGAAAGCCTGCCACACAGTCGAATGGGCCAGCCAGTGGATGTGCAGGTGTGCAGACACAAGGCCACCTCAGCGCCAGGTAGTAAAATGCGCATTTGTCCACGAATTACTGCACTCGGGGCTGTACCTGTGTGTGTTGCTGCCACTCACTGGCCTCGCCAATGTGTATCCCCAACTGGCTACTCACATGCCCCATGCGAAGTTTTTCCCTTTTTATGCTTTCCCTGTGGCCGCAACAGCCCAAAAAGTTGTGCGGAGCAAAGTTATTTTCAATAAGCAGCTGGCGGGCATACGACCAAAACTGCATGATGAACAACAGGATAACCAAAGAGGACTTGAGTCAAGAATGCCCGACTAAGAGATACGCTCCACATACTATGTGTTAATTAATGTGAATAATTAATTCCCAATAATCGATTTCTTTAAATCTATCTATCGATAAAAAACATAGATATTCGCATCAGATTATCATGTAGTTGAATCTTACTGCAATATTTTCCAAATCTACAGAGGAGTAATACTTACAAAGTCTTGGCTTATGGGTTTTTATTCGAATATTAAAGTCCTATTAAGCCAATATACGCTAAGTTGGGAGCTTCCACATTCTCCTAAATATTACCTTAGTTTTGCACGTTTCCTGGTAGGGTATATCAGACCATAAATATACATGAGTTGCAAAAGCAAGTCGCGGCATACTTAGTGCCGACATGACAGAAGTAGTGCTCTTAAAGTTGATTGCATAAACAAGAATAGTCGAGCAGGAAACTGCTCGCCACGGCGGAGGGACTGACTGTCTGACAGACAGGAGCGCCATACATTTTTGTGCTGGCAACTATTTTTATTGCATATTTTTGGGGCTGCGGCAAAATTAATTGCTCTTGAAGTATGCACATTCAATTTAATGAGCTGGCAAGCACCAGCGTATGGCAGATGGTGGATGGCTGCTGGCGGCTGTCGACTGGCTGCTGGCGTCTGGCTGACAGCAATGCACGGGCGCGAGGTGTGAGGGCAAAAGCGCTTAGCTGCAATTAAGTTTAATTGTAGCTGCAATTGTCGCTAAGCAGCCAAAGCAGAGGCTGCTTGCGATGTTGCACGAGTTGTTTAACAGCTACTTAAAAGGGTCAGTCTCTGTTCAATTGTGCTGCACATCGTGCACACGCCCCGTGGTTGCAAGCGCAGGCAGCTGCCAGATTCGACTTCAACCGGCAACACCAACAGCTATAAATACGGAGCACGGTTCAGTGTGCAGCTAATGGAGTTTTATAAAATTTTTGAACATGGTAGGTGGCAATTGCTATTTCCATTACCATGGTTGCCGTTGCCATTGTGCTGCTGTTGCTTTGTTTAACACACTCACACACACACATACACACACACACACTCCAATACATGCACATTTGTGTATAAGCGGGAAGCTAATGATACTGTTGCTTTTCATGTGCACCAGCTCATGTCGGCTCATTAAGTATGAATGGCAATTGGAAAGCGTTTAGTAGCCAGTAAAGCCAGGTAGGCTGCTATTCGCAGGGAGAGCTCATATTTCTTGGTTTGCAACAAGTTTCGAATTGTAAGCCGGAGGCACAAAACTGCAATTGCATTTTGCATTCGCAATTTCCATTGTGGGCTCGCCTAATTAGAAGAAAATGGCCACGGTAAAAGGATACACAAGCACAGACTACATTTCCACATAATTCAAACAGCACTTTAAATGAATAAATTCATGTTTCTTATTTTTCGTCATAAAGACATACATATAAATTTTCACTGAAAAATGAAATCGGAAGCGAATTACGAATAATTTAATGACCCAATATATCGGCTACAACTAGATTAATATTAATCTGCAAAAAGCAATTAATTGATTAATTAAGTTTTCGTATTAAAAATATTGTTGTCCAGCTAGATATTTCAATCTACCTTGGCATTTACGAGGCTTCCCTTGCTCCACATATAAGAGATAATTCTTATCAACATCGGACTTCTGTGTTTATTATAAAGTCGCAAAATTAATTTATGGACGAAAAAAGGTTGTGTTTGCCAATTGCGAGCTTAGGAACTCTCCTTACAAAGCTGCAAACGCATCGTTGTGATAGCAATTTTTAGTTGTTTATAAATAGAATATAAAATTTAAATTCAATGCCCAGTTATACGCACGGTTAAAAAACCGCAATTTGCCCTTAGCAAAACAAATTTATTAACACACATATGTATTTGGGCTGCAAGGATTTAAAACAACATTATGAAAAGGCATCAGCCGCAGCGACGTTGTGCGCTGAGCGATATGCGGCTTCATACTGAACGTTCGGCTTTCGGGGCCGGCGTTCGGCTGCCACTCTCAGCAGTCTTACTCTATGTGGGCACACTAAAATGGTCGCGGGCACCCATGGGGCTCAGTCGTTGCGATTTATCGTGATCCGATTAGTCTGCAGTTTGACATATCTATGCATTGTATAGATAATGGCAAGAGTGTGAGGCGCACTTGCTAGCGGTGGAACAATAATAAGTGAGTGTTAGTGCTCGTGTAAGCGCATTGACTCTGGCAATGCTCTGAAATATATTTTCTGGATGTTTGCAATGCACCTTTTGTACTGGATTTTATCTAACTGGAAAAATCGCAAGTTAATTCCAAAAGCTTAGATAGTCTTTTTAATGACACTGATTTATAATATTATACTTTTTCAATCCTTATTTATATATGATTAAATATAATAATATATATTGTATATGATTCAAACTAACAATTAAATTAACAAATAAGTTAATATTATAATTATTTTCTTTTTCAGTATCTATCTTTAGTTTCAATTCATATATAATTATTCTTTATTATCTTAACATAACTTTAATATTCGAAATATTTGGGAATAAAATCTTTAGTTTATTGAAAATGCCGCGCGCGTCTAAAAAATCCGTTAATCAAAGGCGTCAAGATGGCATTAATCGTAGTCGTGTCTACTTCATAGAGAATATTGCAGGCGTTTGCCTTCGAAATTCTCAACGTTTAACTGACACTCGTGAGTGCAAAGCTGATATTCGCGAAGTAGAGCGTAATTGTGACGCCCTGGCCCGATCTAAAAGACGAAGGAGTGCTCGATTTCGACGGGATGAAAGGGATCTTGATGCAGTAGCTCGCGCAACGCAAAGACAGGATGAGGGTATGCGAGCTCTGGAGCAGACACAAAATACATCAGACCATGCTGTTCGGCGACAAAATCTGCAGTACCGTAGCTAAGAGCGCGAGCGAGATGCAGACGCCCATGCTACAAGGAGGCAGGACTTAGAAGATAGACTGCAAGAGCAGGAATTAAAAACAGAGGAACACTCTGTTCGTCACCAA